GTTTTTGTTCCTTTGCCTGCAGAGGCACGCACCGGTCTCTTATACACATCTAGATGTGTATAAGAGACAGGAGAGAGAGAGAGAGAGAGAGAGAGAGAGAGAGAGAGAGAGAGGACTTACATCGTTTGGTCATCATACGGGGCGGGTGTAACAACGGGCGACAGCGATGCAGAGCTCGCTTTCCTTTTTAACATATCTGACCACTGATACAGTCAGATACATTCAAGATAAAGCTGACGCGAGCGTGGGCACCAAGGGAGCGAACGGGAGATAGCAGCTGACACTAGCATCTCTTTTGTTGAGTATTTTCTGCACTCCCTCCTTACAGATTCAACCTTGGCTTAACCACGTCTCATCTGTGATCTGGCGTGCAACACCAAGGGTCCTGATGGCTCATAAGAAAGAGGGTGTATCCATCATCCTAACTTCTGGAATAATTCCCTGTATGGCTTTGTTTATGCTGTGCAGGTAGCAGATTTCGGGCTGACAAAGCTTATTCGGGAGAACTCGGATGGCAACTCACAGACACGGCTTGTGGGAACATTTGGATATATGGCTCCAGAGTATGGCTTCATGCTACTACCATAGCTCAGTTTTTCCTCTTTTCGTCTCATCTGCCTCTTCCTTGCCTTCCAATTGTTATCGTGTGAAGATGCAATCAAGCTATGGCGACAAAACGGTTGGCAACAAGCAAACACATCTTCAATAGAACCAAACACAGGCCTACACTTCTATGGATGCCATGTAGATTCATCCAATGACTTTGTTATTTGTGTCTGGTTTTGTGGTGTGTTGTGTCTGTGTGTGTGATGAGGTGTGCGCGAATGGGAAACATGCTACCAACTCGATGGCACGCAAACTCCGATGTAACTTGTTGGCATACGTTGAGCAAAGTAAACCTGCAGGAGTGGCAGAACTAACAACGAGTCAAGCAACACATCATTTCCAGAGCAGAAACGGAGTGTCTTGCGGGCTTTCATGCTGGCCGACTCATACATCTTGCAAAACTATTATAGTAATCAAAAATTCAAAATAGTAGAAATAATGAAGCTAATAATAATTGGTAAAAGACAGACAAATGTATTGAGACCAACCATACACGACACAATCCACACAAGGCTCAAACCGTATTGTACACACACGTGCGATATGAATCAAAGATAGTATCTGCCAATCAGCCTGAATATACAAAATTGTAAGGACCTGGAAAAACACAGACTGAGAACGCTGCTGATTTCTGGGTTTTGCCACTGGAATGTGTGTTTTGCTGAGATTTCTGCTTTTTGCCGAGTTTTCTGTGTGTGTGTATGTGTGTGCTTGCTGGTTCGTGTGCCTGTCTGAGTGACCGTCTGCCTGAGTGTGTGTGTGGCTTCCAGGGCACTTGTTTGTTTGGAAGGCTCGCGGGGCCCAGTACTTACCTGTGGCTGTGACTTTGAGGGTTGCAGCGGGGAAATACTCAAGTGGCCGAAGGGGTAGCTTAAGGGTACACTCAAGTAGCGATAGGCTACGCCCATAGGTACTCGAGTAGCTGTAGGCCGAGCAGAAGCAGACAAAAAGTTAGAACTTAGAACCTTTGGAGGTCGTGTGAGCAGAAGCAGACAAAAAGTTAGAACCTTTGGAGGTCGTGTGAGACGGTCTTTCGTAAGAAACTGGTTGCTACAGGGAAAGATCGCAACTGTGGCAGATAACAGATTGATTTGGAAAAAACGGCACAGCGCAACTTCAGCAAGGACGATGACCCAGTGATGGGCAAACTGAGATTACAGTCTCAACAATATAGACAACTCCCCTCTTTTCTTGCTTTACTCGAATCATCTGACAGAGTCACAGTAGATTCTGAGAGGAAAAATGGTAGGGCAAGCTGACAGTCAATCCTCCGGCTCTGGAGCAATGAATGCTGGTCAGGGTTCCTTTGGCCAGACGGAAGCGTGAGAGTGTTCACCATGTATTTCAATTCTTGACTTGCCGGTGGAAAGGAACCGGACTGACGCTCCCCACAATGGATATGGAGCTAGAACCATAAGGATTATTAAGGACCTATTTCAATTTTCAACAAAAAAAAAAAAAAAAAAATCAAATTCCACAATTTGTAGAACGTTCGGCATGTTAAAAAAAAAAAAAAAAAAAGATTTCCAAAAAGTAAAATGCCGTAATAGGCTGTGCTGGTCCCCGCGCCGCCCGGCGACCCGGTGGTCGCCCGGGGGGTGGACTGGGCCGCCTGGCCGGTTGTTCTGCCCGGTTGGCCACCAGGCGAGGCCAGCGCATCTCAGAAGAGGGGGGGGGTTCGGCCTTTTTTGACGCGGGGGGGCTTCTTTCCCCCAAAGGAGGCCTTCCAGGCCATCACAGTGTGAAAAAAAGGGCCGGAAGGCCCGATTTCGAGTATTCGAAATCGTGGCCCATCTGCACCGTTGATCTCCAGGATCGACGGCCCAGATGGGCCGCGATTTTGAATCCTCGATATCGGGCGGGAACCACCGCGGCCCTCGTCCCCTCCCCCATCACCTCTCCGGCCCGACGCCACACTTCGCCCGACGCCACACTTTGCCCGACGCCACACTTTGCCCGACGCCACACTTTGCCCGACGCCACACTTCGCCCGACGCCTCGACTCGACGGAAGCTCCGCCCACGCCCGCCAACGCCCGCAAACGCCGCCGAGCCCGCCGACGCCCCCCATCCCGCTGTCGCGCCAAGGTAAGTGGGTTAGTAGTAGGAGAGAGAGAGAGAGAGAGAGAGAGAGAGAGAGAGAGAGAGAGAGAGAGAGAGAGAGAGAGAGAGAGAG